GTGGAATGTGCTAGTTTGGGCTGAAGTAGTTAACTATCTTCACAGTGACTAGTATGGGGCTATATTTCTGTGCAGAGCAGAACACAGAGTTAATGATGTAGAGGTGTATTTGTTATTGCTGAGTAGAGCCTACATAGGGCCAAGGCCTTTACTGCCTTCCATACTGCCACGCTGGCAAGGAAGGTAGGGGTGCATGGGAGACTAGGAGGAGACACAGCCAAAAGAGGTGACCCAAACTGACCACAGTGATATCCCATGCCATATGACATCATGCTCAGTATATAAAGTGGGAGGAAGAAGGAGAAAGAGGAGCCATCAACATGATGGCATTTATCTTCCAAAGGAACCGTTACATGTGATGGGGCCCTGCTCTCCTGGAAATGGCTGAACACCTCCTGCCCATGGGAAGCAGTGAATTAATTCCTTGTTTAGCTCTGTTTGTGTGTGCAGCTTCTGCTTTCTCTATTCAGTTGTCTTTATCTCAACCCATGAGGGTTAAGCAACTGCTGAGCTAGCGCACGGTTCTTTGAAATCGATGTTGTTAAAACAAAAAGGGGGAGTAGGAGCTTTGACCCCTCAGGAACAACTTGACAAAGCTACACATGCTTTGAACTTCTAAATTGCTGGTCTGAAAACGGTATCCCAATTCTAAAACATTTTGCCTCTGTGGCAGACGACAAGATTGATGCAGCCAAAGCACTGGCACAGCCTAACAAACTGGGATGTTGGCTAGCAAAACAAACTAGCACCACGCCAACAGCTTTATCAGGACTATTAGCAGACGTTGATTCTGTAAGGCATGCAACTGTGCAGAATCGTGCAGCTACTGATTTTTTGCTTTTAGCGCATGGGTATGGTTGTGAAGACTTTGAAGGAATGTGTTGCATGAACTTGTCTGACCATTCGCATTCAATTTCTGCAAGTATTCAACAACTACGAGATGGAGTACAAAAGCTGAAGGAAAGCAGTGGATGGCTTGATAACCTCTTTAGTAGTTGGGGCATTTCAGGATGGCTTAAAGATGTGATAAGAACAGGATTTGTCGTTTTGCTTGTTGCATGTATGTTGCTGCTATGGGTGCCCTGTTTGTAGTCTTTTCTGCAAAGGGCCCTGCAGAGAACAATAAATGCCGCTTTTTTGGTTGAAAAACAAAAAGGGGACCTGTGGGAGCTGACAGCTGGTTTGAAGGCCTTGCAGTCATCCATCTAGAGCTGATCATCATGTACCCTTGAATGTATTTGAATGACCTGCTAGAAGGAGGCACGCTCACCAGAAGAAAGAGGAACAAGAGCCACAAGAAGAGAAAGCTTTTGGACAAACAGGATGATAAACGAAATATGTGCTTATGTAATTTGTAGCCAATGACAGGTTGCTTGTAACATGTTATATCCGATGAACAAAAGACATGCTTTATGTCAAAGGTATAAATATGGCTAATTTGTAATAAGGTGAGCTTTTTGCCTTTCGCCACCATTTATGTGTATGTGCTTATGTCGCATGTGCGTCTCAACCACGACAGCTATACCCACCAACACTGCTTTGAATTCCTTTCTACTGTAGTAACAACAAACGAGGGAAATACCTGAAGGCCCAACTCCAGAGAAACTTTCAGGAGAGTGATGTCTGGCAAGCTGTCCATGAGGGTTGCTATTTTAAATGCATCCTGGGCAAGTTTGAAGATGTGTGATGAGGAGTGGATATTTTTCTGGATGGATTCTAACACTGTTTCCAGCCTCCGAACATCACCTGCAAGGTGTAAACAGGATCACCAAAATGGAACAAACTCCCAAAACACCCAAAGGTGCGTTACAACTGAGCCTGCACTGTTATGCAACAATAAGATGTCTCTGTTATATGCACTTTGTTTTTAGAAACCTTCCATAATTAAATCACATATGAATCAAAGATACAAGACAGCACACACTCTCTAGTGTCTGATGGTGTTAGCGCAGCACAGAGCCAAAAGTCATTCTGATTTGTGAATTTTAGAAGTGATTTGTCCACTCCTGGGTCTCACCGTCAATGTCATGTGTCAAAAGAACAAAGAGCTGTCTCATCAGCCTCGCATCAAGCTCATCTAGCTACCATCCAGCTAGCTTAACTACTTTGCTAGAAAATTACGTGACAGGTTTAAGCCAGTTCAGTTTGTTGTACCCATTTCAAGCTCATGTCAGGCTACAATTTGGATTCCTAATTACAAGTTTTATGATCTGTTTACTCCATGCAATATTAAAAGCATACATTTAGCTGAGTACATAACTGACAGCAATGTACCTTTGGCTGCTGTTAGCATGGTTGATGCCAGCTCACACTGCTGGGATTCAATGTGACTTAGGGTGAACCAGCGCGGATACCGGTTTGGAACAACCGATGCAATGTGGTGAGGGCGGGACATGTCTCCTGAAGGAGCAGTAGATTCCAGTACCAGCAACCTGAAAAAAAGGAAGAAATGCTCTTTCATTATATCATTACTATGTTAGGTTACTTGTGAACTGAACTAAAGGTGCAAGAAAACTTGGCCTCGCCTATGAAATGTACCTTTTTCGTTGCAAAGAAAAAATAAATATTGGAAAATCATTTCTCTTCTTGGGGAATCTTAAAAGTCCATTGGTCAAACTTGTCTACATCAATGGGCATCTGCAGAAACTCACAGGAAAATTAAGCTGCCCCTTAGCCAAGGCAGCAGAGACTTTCTGCATCATGCATAGAGCTGAAGTTTTTCTCCCTGTCTTCTTTCCATCTTGGCACCACAGCCCTCAAAAAGGAAAGTGGAGCATTTTTTACTGTACTGAGAACAAGACAATATTTTTCAATATTTGGAACATACCTTCTTTGCCTACATATGCTCAAAGTGATGGAGAAGGGTGTTTGAGTCATTTGGATCTTCATCTTGCAATAAATTCAGGCATGAAATTATGTCCAAAATGACATTTTACTGTTTAACTACTACTACTTTTTAAAGTCTATAAACTTTAGCCTATCACCGTTTTATAATGTACCATAATCTGGTGTTAGGGTCCCAAACAGCAGTGACAGAGGAAGCTTCCTTTAAAATTACTTCTCAGACTCTGTTCTCTAATCCTGAAGCAAAAATTTCACTGAGAATGCATCAACCTACAACAGTCTTATCCAACAACAAGAATTCACACTTTGAACATTCAAATTAACTTCTTTTTTGTTGACTACCACAACCCAAATGACAGCCCACAACAAAGACTCAACTGATGTCCCTTACTATAGACTAGATACAGAGAGTATACCAGATACTCTATAAATGCCAGTGCAAAAAGTAGGAATGAACAAAAATAGACATTTTTATTCAATACAAAGAGGCACCATTTCAGGACATGAATTGTTAACAGGACATCAAATGACAGTCATGAGGCAATGTCTAGAAGAATAGCCTTTCCAGTGCTTAGCTTCTTGATCAGGGCTAATATCAGAGGTCTGTTTCTACCAGCTTTCATGTGTAAGTGGTTTTCTAGCAGAAAGTCATCTGGGAGGACAAAGGAAGTTCGATCTTTTGTCAACATAATTGCAACTGCTGAACACTGAAAATCCAATGCATTGGAGTTTTCTGTGATAGAGTATTTCTTGTGGGATAAGATCATTTAAACATGTTACAATTTCTTGTGCCTAAATAAATACCCAAGTTCTGTAAGCAACTGTGGTGCATGTCATTTTTTTTTCCCATGTAAGATAGTTTTAAGTTCTATCAGTTTTCTGCAGGTTCCTGAAGCCTATGACAGTATATTTAAGAATTTAGTGATAAAGGTAATTTTGAATATATGGGAAGGCATCTAGCAGGCAAATAAAAATACAACACATCACACATAAAACTATCAGCAGGTTATATTAACATTTCCAGACACATATATGTGCATGCTAATATGAAAAAAACCCAAACCCTTCCCTTTTAATTTGTATCAAGTCAAATCCATTCTCTAGTACCACTAAGACACCTCTTTATATACATAAAAATATCTATAAACTCATTTTTTCCAAGCATAGAGAGGCTGGAGGCAGAGATGCATTATAGGACAGTTTCCACAAACAGTAAATATCCCAACTACCTAATGAAAAAAGGGATTATTAGGTAATGAGTAGCAGTAAACAGACAAAGAGCATGAAAGAAAGAGGCTGTTTTGGGGAAATCAGTTTGAATCCTATACCCCCATATTCTGTCACTATATGTTCTTGTAAAAAGTTTCTCTCCACCTTTCTTGCAGGCTCCCACCAGGTCACCCCAAAGCCTTCTTTCTCCAGGCTGAATAAACACAATTCTCTTAGCCTTTCCTTGCATGAGAAGTGCTCCATCCCTCTAATCATCTTAGTGGCCTCCTCTGGACTCACTCATCCACCAAGTACCCCAAAGTCCTTCTCAGAAGGAATGCTCTCAGTCCCTTCATCCCCAGCCTGTATTTATACTAGAGGTTGCCCTAATCTAAGGTGCAACATCCTGCACTTGCTCTAATTAAACCTCATGAGATTCCCATGGGCCCACTTCTTGAGCTTATTCAAGCCCCTCTGGATGGCATCCCATCCTTCAGGTGTGATCCTGTTTCACAGGTATAAATAGACACTGTACATTTATGATTCTTATACTGTGGTTACTACAGACATTGATTACTTTTACAGACAACAGAACCAAAACACTTTCTCTTTAAAGAGGAAGAATGCTTACTTAGAAAAACAGCCTAGGTCTTGATTACTATGGGTTTTCCCCTTTTCCTATCCTCTACTTGTGCTCTTTCTAGACAACTCCTGAATACATACCGCATGGCTCTCAGTGCAGTTTTGTATGCCAATTCAGCATCATGAGGTAGGAGAGAGGTGAAGAGATACTTGGCAAATGTGTGCATTGGAACACTCTCCCGATGGATGACTTCCCCTAAACCACTATATGGTCCACCTGCAGGAAAGAGTAACAGAATGTCAGCCTTTACACACTGCTAAAACCCATCTTCTGGGCCTTTAAAAGCATTCACTACACCTTCAACTAGAAGTCGTATTCAAAGACAAAGTTTGCTGTGCAAAAGGTAAAGTTTCTTCCTCTTTTCAGTGAAATATGTAACACATCACATACATACAATGCATTACAAGTGTATTAAATACCATATATTATTTGAGGAAACAAGACAGGCTGCAAATTGTATAGTACTAAGCACACTACCAGTGCACATAGGTATGACAGAATGGTTACAAAGCTCCACAGGGCTCATTCACCAAGCCTGAGGTATGCAAAAGTAGAAAGCCTTAATCCTAGCTTTGCCTCTACACAGTTATATTGTGCACATCAATCCCTATGCACCCCAGCGGTGTGTGACTGCTTTATCACAAATTCACCAGGTAAAAAGAGACCACAGTGGAAAAATGTGCATCTTCAAGTGAAGTTACATGACCAATTGCCACAGAAGCACCTGATCCCTCAAATGTGTCACCTGACATTAGGCATTTAAATAATCATTTGGTCTGGACTTTGTTGTGACCCAAGGGCTGGGTCCTGTCCTTGGGTCACAACAACCCCAGGCAGTGCTACAGGATTGGACAAGAATGTCTGGGAAGCTGCACAGGAAAAAGGACCTAGGGGTGCTTGTCAACAGCGGTTGAACATGAGCCAGCAGTGAGCCCAGGTGGGTAAAAAGGCCAGTGGCATCCTGGCTTGGATCACAAATGGTGTGGCCAGGAGGACCAGGGAAGTGATTCTCCCCCAGTACTCAGCACTGATGAGGTCACACCTTGAGTATTGTGCCCAGTTCTGGGCCCCTCACTATAAGAGGGACATTGAGATGCTGGAGCAAGTCCAGAGAAAGACAACAGAGCTGGTGAAGGGTCTGGAACATAAGCCATATGAAGAGCAGCAGAGGAAGCTGGGGGTGTTTAGCTTGGAGGAAAGGAGGCTCAGGGGTGATCTTGTCAGTCTATACAACTACTAGAAAGGACATTGCAGCCAGGTGGGTGTGAGTCTCTTCTCCCAGGCAACAAGTGACAGAACAAGAGGAAATGGCCTCAAGTTGTGCCAGGAGAGGTTTAGATTGACTGTTATGAAGAACTGCTTCACTGAAGGGGTGGTCAGACATTGGAACAGGCTGTCCAGGCAAGTGGTGCAATCACCATCCCTGAAGCATTCAAAAAAGTGCAAATGTGTCACCTACAGACATGTTTTAGTAGTGAACACAGTGGTGCTGGGTTAATGGTAGCACTTGATAACCTTAAGAGCCTTTTCCAGCCTAAACGATTCTATGATTCAGAGGAGACTAGGACAGATTGTGCATCAAAGCTGCCTCTGTTAGTCCATTATAGCCACATGATCTTAAAAATTCTGGGGTTTGTGCGAAAACTGCCCCATTGTTGGGGCAATAGATTTTGCTCACTCGGTGCAGTGTAGATTTCAACTTCGTAACAGCAGTATTAGGACTGACAAAACCAACAAAGTCAATGCAACTATTTACTTGCCACGTTCTACATGTTCACAGTCATACGAATCCCATTTCCACATTTTTCCTGCAACCTTAAGACTGTTATTCCTGTTAACAGGAAAACTGTGTTGAACAGTTTTTGACTTCAGAGACTAGAGATTCAGGCATTAAATGCTGCAAGATACAGAAAAAGAATCTTATACTAAGTGGTACTGAATTATTATTGCACAGATAGCATCCAGCAGTCCTATAAGTTACTACTACTTCTTCTGGAGACTCCAACCCACTAACACTTCGATGGATGGATGGACAGACGGATGGACGGATGGATGGATGGACGGATGGACAGATGGATGTGTGAGTTCTCTTCTTCATGTGGAGCCAATATGTGTCATTTAAACTGCTTTCAGCAGTGGTTCAAACTAACATGGCTGACTGTACACTGAAGCAGATGAGGAGAAACAGCCAAGCTGTTCCAGCAACCTTTTTCACTGGTGCTTTAGCACAACATGCAAAGATAAAAATCACCAGGCATGAAAAAATTCTGAGCTCCATAGGTGGGCATTTCTGAAGGCAGGGCCTGATTACAAAGGAAATGTCATTGAAGATTTAGTAGGTGACAGTGTGTCTCATAATCATTTAGAATGAAGTTGAAAGCCATTCAAAACTAGCTGCCATTGCGTGAATGAAAGAAGCCATTTCATGTATGTTTGCCAGTTGGTGGTCCAGTCAGAAACTCAGTTAGGAGACAAAGGATACATGACAAACCATTTATATGAAAATATATTCTGCCATTAACATAGCAGTCAAGCAAAAAATTAGAACAGTTCTCTCAAAACAGTCTTACGTTCTGCTTTCCCACGCACTCAGATGGTAGCTACATACAGCATGCATTAATCTGCATTAACAGCACAGAAAACAGCTTAATATTGGATTAAGTTTTCTTTATTGTAATTGCAGGACTTTAACTAAAAACCCACAATTGATATGATTAGCATCTTAAATCACTGCACAGCTTTTCCTACGTGTGGGCTGGTAGTTTCTGCCTAACATGGAGTAAACTGAAACTATTGCAGGAAAGCCACATTTCTCATCACACATTAATGCAAGACCATTGTTGCACACTGCTCACCATGGCAATTTTTTAGGTAGCTATATTAGATTTGCTGCTATAATCACTTCTTTACTACTCTAAGAAAACATTAGAAGAATTTCAGTGATCAGCGTAGTACACTAGAATTATCAGAGACTATGGCAGAGAAATCCTGCCTTTTCCTCATAAAATATCCTTACCAGTAAATGGGTGAGCAAATTGATTTTATAATCCATAGGAATCCTGTGCAGTAGTTAACAGCTAGATCTAGCCAGCAGCTGTTCTTGTCCAAAGGCCATAAAGCCGCAGTACAGCCACACCATGATGGAAACTCTTCCTATGGTACAGCTTTTCTGTGATTTCAAAGGCACAAGCCTTTAACAATCTGGGCAAAAATAGTGACTCAAAGCTGAGGACTCTAAACATACTGCACCTCTTCCACTAAAAAGGAAGTCTTAAAAGACTAACATCTTACAAAAGAAAGCAGAACATGACTGCTGTGTAACAACTTCACAACTTGCCTAGAGTAGTACCACACTCCCCATCAACCCTTGATCACACACTCTAAAACTGGACCACGCCTCTGGCTAACTTTTCTTCTAAAGTTTTCATTTCCATTTATAAAAATCAGAAACCAGAAAGAACCCCAGAACCCACAAGACTACTCTCTGAATGTGAGTCTGAAGTGGTACATGTTCAGCCTTTTTAGAAGTTAAGGCAAAAGCATGCACTTCTGTGCACGGATTTCATTGCAACACTGGCTAAATCCCAAACACAAACTGTTTGTCTTGGTCAAAACTTAGTCACAAGACCAGGTCATAAGGCTCAATATATGACATCATACTTCAATTTTCACATGTGATACAAACTTCAAAGACAAGTAATTTTCCTAACTGCCACAAACAAAATGCTGCATTTCTGTCTCAGCAATTTTAATGGAATTTTCTGAGCCCTTTGGTTGAGAACAGAGGTAGAAATCTTCACACGTATATAAAGCTGCCACTTGAGTCCTTTTTTCAGGATAGAAGGAGCACCCATAATTTTGCTACCTGAGAACAGTTAATGATAGCTGATGTATTATATAGCAGCAAGCCTCGATTGTATAATCAGGTTACCGTGACTGTGACAAACAACAAATGCAAAGAACAAAGTGTAACCAAAATTAAAACAAAAAGGATTATAGGTCAATATATGCCTTGTCTCCACTGTCATGTGATATCTGAAGTATGTCTGATTTCCGTAAGAGATCTGAAACAAAATTTTCCTGGAGTTCTAAGTGGAAGAACCATTTGAAGCATGTAAGGCAGTTTCCACTGAACACTGGTTCTGTGTGCTTGTGTAAGTGGAGATAGTGTAAAGAAGCAGTTAGCATCTATAGTGAGCTACCTTCTAATAGGAAGACTGCTTGTTTTCGAAAAATCTTCACCAGAGTATCATCCAATTCAATTTCCTGTAGCTTAGAAATGAGCTGCTCCTCATTTCGACAAACCTTCTCTTGTGCATACAAGCCATCTGGCATTATTCGCTGCTGTCCCAGCCCTATCAATGCCACTTCCACAGCCAGCGTTAAATAAGATTCCCCTTCTTCTAAGAACTTGTGTGCAGGCAGGTGCTGGTACTCCAGGGATTTGCAGTGACCCATGTGCTCTGTAAGGGGTGACACGGAAAGAAAAACACATAAGCAAATCATTCTAACCCGTAATCTGCCTACAGTGCCACATACACAACTGCTTCCTCTGTTAGTATTATTTTTTTAATTCATTAAAATTACGCACATAGCCTCAAAACCCAAGGATCCCAACTAAAATATGTAATCTGATTCCACATGGCAGAAATACACAAAAGACTTAGGTTTTAAATAATCCACTCAAGTTAAAATAGAAGTCTTTAAACTGCACCATTTAGAGAAAGGCAGTTCCTCAGCATTGTGTTAATGAGGCTAAAATTGGAAGATCCATTTCAATTTCTTTCCCCACCCATATCTGTATTTCCTTAAAGCATTGATGTGCAAGAGGAAAGGAAAGAAAGGTACTTATACACCTGCACAGATTTCAGTTGAAGTTGTTAGAATTGTACAAATACAATAGGGCTAGCTCTGTTTGCTACAGCTCTTTTCAGGCTTTTGATTTGCTACAGTTCTATCCGTGATAAAAATGCTATTAACATCAGAAGTCCTACTCTTAGTAACGATTACAAGTAAATTCCACACACACCAAGCCATAAATTGCTTTAAAGAGTGCTACCAATTCACTTGGCACTTCACAGACACAACATATGACAAAACATTATTCCAACCTGTAGCAGTTTACAGTCTAATTTGGGAACAAAAAGTTATCAGATATGTAAGGAGATGGACAACTGCAGCAAACAAAGGCTGAATGCATTTGACAGGCTGCATATGTGTGTGCAGAAGGAAGTTACTTTTCAACACACAGTGTTTTTATCTCGGGGATGTTTTGGAAGCTACTGCAAAGGTAGAATGAGACTGAGAATATTAATCAGTTAAAATCCTGGGAAACAAATACTGAAAGCGAAATGTGAGTACATATCATATTCCAAATCAGGTATTGATACAGCAACACTACTCTCCAACCCCTATCATTTGTAGACCATGTATGTGAGCAGCTTTAAGTGTTCTGTCATTGTTTTGAAGGGATATGTACACTGTGGCTCAGAAGTCCAATCACATCCAGGGCTGCATTACAAGTGCTGCCAGCAGGTCAAGGGTGGTGATCCTGCCCATCTGCTCAGCACCAGTGAGCCCTCATCTGGAGTGCCATGCCCAACTGAGGGCTCCCCAGTACATGGGGAGGAGTAGATCAGATCCAGTGTGGGAACATAAAGATGAATAAAGGACTGCAGCATCTCTCATAATTGAAACAGGTGGGATTATTTAGCCTGGAAAAGAGAAGGCTCAGGAGGATCTTACCAAAATGTATTAATATCTGATGGGAGAATGTAAAGAAGACTGTGCCAGACTCTTCTCAGTGGTATCCTGTGACAGGACAACAGAGGCAATGGGCACAAACTGAAACACAGGAAATTCCATCTGAGCATAAGAAAACACTTATTTACTACGAGGCTGCTTGAACACTGCAGGAGGTTGCCCAGAAAGGTGGCACAGTGCTCACTCTTGAAGTTACTCAAAACCCAACTGGACACAGACCTGGTGCAACAGGCTCTAGGTGATGCTACTATGAGCAGAGCAGGTGGACTACATGATCTCCAGAGATGCCTTCCAATCTCAGCAACTCTGTGATCCTATGAATTCCTGCAATTTCTCAAAGACAGAGCAGAGCAACACATGTGGAGAGGACTGCTGCTATAAGGTCATACTTGGTTTTATTTCAAATGTGAAATACGGAATAGTCTTCAAGAATGAGTAACTGGTAATTTTTAACTGCTTTCTTATTTTACTTTAAACATTTTCTCTCCCTTGTGTTTTCCTAAGGAATGCAAATGTGAGTTCTTATACTACAAAAACAGTGGCTTTGAAGCTGACTCAAAAAGGAAAGACAGAAAAATGCCTCTGGTAAATTAAGAGGTATAGAAGATTACTCCCTTCACTTGGCCTTACCCGTGAAGTCTGAAAATCCATGGAAGCTATCATCATCCACCCTGCAGGCTTCCATCAGGCTACTGAAAAGGGTGCCAATGGGGTCCAAAGGGTGTCCCACCCAGCCTTCAAGATTCGTTATTGAGGTTACTCCTCGGTGGAGAAGATCTGTGACAGAAAACATGCAGGAAGGAGGGAAGGGGAGAACACACGTTAGCCCCTCAAAACAACTGCACAAGTTAAACTGCTTAAAATGCTCTCAATACAGAATTCAAAGTATTTCCAGTTGTTTCCTCTTAGAAAGAGAAAATAGTATTTCAGGGTGAATTCACTGCCCTTTGTGAATATGTACAAAAGAAGAAAAAAGAGAAAGAATGAATGCCAAACTTTTTGAGCGCTAGCAAAGTGTATTATGGGTCAAAAATTTTGACTGCAATGTCTTTTGAAATCTCCTACTTGATGCCAGTAACTCTTCTGAAAATGTCTGTTGAGGAATTACAACAAAGACTTCTTCTGGTAATATATTCACAACAATTTCCTCAAAAGACACAGTACCACTTTTATATTTTAAGTTAATCTGATAGAACTGAAAAAAATGAAAATATTCTAAAATATGTTCCATTTTCATAAATAAATTATGAACTTATCCTGCATATCCTGCATTAATTTTTATATACATATATAAAAATCAATATGTAGCACTAAACGCAGGATGACAGCTACTTTAATAAAAAAATCAAATGTTTAAATCAGGTATACAAGAAAAAAATTGTCTTTTAATTGGATCCATTGTAGTTTTTGCCATTTTAAAATTTCACTCAAGAAATACCTGCACAAGTACTTTGCTTTGTAGCTCTCACCCATCATTTGGTTTAGCACAGTGAATTGGAGGAAGTGTGATTGTAGTAACAGATGTAAGAGGCTCCCCAAATCCCTTTTTTCACTAAGAGTCATAATAGCAACAGCTTCCCCTCAACTCTCAAGCTTTTTCCCCCTAGACACATGGACACAACTGAACTATGAGATACATTATGACCATTTAAATACTCTTTCTGAGTAACCATATGTGTTATCACAGAGCTTTTAAGTCCTGCTCCTGCCTATTTAAACATGTAGGGCTAGAAAATGAAACACAGACACTGCCAGGACAGAGGGTTTTTTTAAAGAATCCACTGGTATGCAATACGAAAAACAAACAAGTAAATCATTGTCTTACTAACAAATAGCATATACTGAAGATGACAGGCAGGAGCAAGTAATATTACCAAAAAGGATTAAACAGAATAACTTCTGACTCACCTATGTTCTATTTATTCTATTGTGCCTCCTTATGAGCTTCACTTGTGTCGTGCCAACCAAAGGCTTCAATCCTCTAGCCACAGACATTTAACTCTAAATCCCACAAGTGGTTTCACAGACATCAGATCAGTCACATGAATAAAAGCTAAGCAGAAGCATGTGGTGTTTGCTGAACTACAATCTAAAGCCGGGCTGTAGCTACAGACTTCATCTGGTTGTAGAGAAGACCAGCACACTTTGTGGTACAGAAAGTGTCTTTAAAAATTCCACGAGAGTAAAAACTAAAAGAGCAGTGAGTGACAACACAGAAATGACAAACCTATTTGTTTCGGGGCAAGATGGATCACATTTCATACATTCCACTTTTTATTTAGAATAGCATAATAATAGTTGACAGCTACAGAAACTGCTCACAGGGAAAGGAACTTGACACAAGTATTGAATGTCCACATGCTGCACTAGCAACTGGGAATGAAAAGGAATGAAAAGGAGCAGCATTATGACCAGCACACTTGCAACAGACCCTTCATACCTGCCAGTGGTACGAACACACGCACTGACACTGGCACCTCTCTTCTTATCAACAGTAACACTCAAAAACCTCGGTACCGTGGGAAAAAAATACGGGGGTACATAGGAACTGGAGTTAAAATATTTTTCATGTAGGTGTACACCTTGTCCTCTAACATTTCTGTGAAAACGACTGAACAGACACTTGAGAAATTTACACATATGACTTCACACTGGTATTTCTGCCTATAATGCAGGAGGATACACTTAGTCTAGCGTAGTAAAGAAGATCTAAAACAAAATTTGAATGAAGGGATTCTTGTAGCAGCTGAGTAACTAAGACTAGTTTTATCACATGGATTCTTCCACCACAAAGCCATCCCCTTCTTCAGCTGCCTCTTCAAACTACGGCATTTCAGTGTAGGATTATTTTGGGTTGCAAGGATCACATGACATAGAAACTGTATCTGAAGGAGGGAACTCCTTCAAAAAAGACAGGGGTAGTGCTCAGAGGAGTATCACAGAACAATTTATTAAAAAACAGTGTTTCAAAAACCAAACAAAAAAAAAGAGCAGTCCAATTATATTCATAAACACCAAAATGGAAAGTGTAACAAGAGATTCTCTTGGAATACACTGCCAAATTGGATGAATTTCTGGACTGCAGACTTTGCCTCACTGTTATCCTCAACATCAACTCCAGGCTTACACCTCAGAATATGTAGTTCAGCAAAATTATGCCAGATTAAAACAGAACTGAACACCTGACATGCCAAATGCAAAGCTCTGTTCAAAAGCCTGTAAATTACACAGGCTGACTATTTTCACTGTGTAACCGAAACCCCTGATTGGGATAAAGGCCCCATCCTTCCAGATGTATTGCAGAAGGCTCAAAAGAGCCATTGCCCTGCAGAGTTCACAGCACAGCTTACAGAAAACCTCTGACATCCAGAATGTGACATTAGCACTACTTGGACTAGAGAGTTAAAAGTCACCTCTTTCACTCTAGTTTCAAAACCAGTTTTGTAACACAAAGTTCCTCTCTGGTGCTACTGCCAACTGGCACATCCTTTGCCCTTGTCTGCTCCAGATTTACCTTTCTTCTGGGCCCGGAACATTTCCAGCTGTTTCTGCTGCTGTCTTCTTAGTGTATTCACAATAGCTATTGCTAGCCTCAGTGCTTCTCGCGGGTACCCATGAGATCGTAACGCATCCACCCTCGCACAGGCTGTAGGAACATGTTCTAGAACGGAGAAAATAATCGAGGAATAGCAATGTTTCCGTATCTGCAGTGTCTTGTTTTGCTAGGTTACTCAAAAGGGCTTTTTTGTTTAAATTTTTTTCTTTTCTGTTTTGTTTTGTTGTTATAACTATGCAAGAGGGACTTAAAGGACTGCTTCTGAGCCAGCACTTCAAGGGAGCCTCTGTTCTTTTTGCCAGGCTTTTCATTCATCTCCCTACCCACACCCCCCACCAAAATAATGCCATAGAAAATGAACAAAGCAGCAAGTCATGGAAATGTCTTTCCGGTTTAGCCACTTACCATGCCAGAGGGGCCACCCCTGAGAGTCAAAGAGCAAGTTTTCAGAGTCGTCATGGTAACAGTAGTTGGTGTATAGGTCACTGCTGATAATGTGCTGTAAGTGGCTGTCCTGCCAGTGCAGATCGCACGCCTCAATGGCTCGAGTGAACACCGTCCGATGGGGCCTGTTCGATGAATCTGTCATTTTCACAAGTTCAGAAAGCTGCATCAGCTTTTACTCATTCATACATGAATCAGTCATCCTGCCTTCTGCATGCCACCCCCCACCCATGGCAGTCTGCCTTGCCCCCCTCTCACCGAGCAGCCCACAGATGACATTTCACATCCTGTTATTACCCAGCAGCTCAGAAGAAGTATGTGCCACTCACTCTGCATTCAGAAAGAGATCTAGAAACTAGCACAGCTGACACTAAACAGGATTTCTCAGAGGGAACCACTAGAGGTGAAGACATTCAACAGCACATACCAATTCCCCTGAAAACAAACTAGAAAGCATGTGGCACTGAAGCACCCCCAGGTTCCCTCCTCAGACCCAGAGTTGTCAGGATGAAGGATGGATAAACTGTATAAAAGAACTGTAGTTCTCTTTGGGAAGTGACATTAACTTTGAACACTTGTGTAAGTTTGTTTGTCATGAACACATACAAATACAGTTAAGAAAATGAGGTACTGAGGTCATGGGACTGATATAATCCTTACTGGACATCTTCCTATGGCAGAATTTCCCTGTTGACACTACACTGTCTGACAATGTTGAGAAGCCGTGTCAGAGTTACCATGAGCCTGCCCAGGCTGGTCTGAACATCATGAGGTACAGGAAGCAAGATACTCTGTAAACAGTCATTTGCTGAATGAACTTATGTCCCTGGCTAGCTGTGAGATTTAATAATGAACCAAGTGTTTTACTTCAGAGGTACTCTTCCAAGAAAAAGAAACAAGGAAAAACCCACCTAAGTGCAAATCTGCCAAGAATTTAATTTTAACTTTACTGCAATTATATGAAATATGTATCAATACTGAGGGTTTTGAGGATTACGAGCATTTTTCCTGGGTAAATACCCTGCACTTTGCCTAGTTATTAGCAAAGTAGTCATCTTTGCTTGAAGAGGACTGTACAAGGCTTCTGCCAGATTTGATTTGATGTTAGAAAGCATGATCTTGAGTAAGAAAAGACACCTCCTCTGTGACAGCAGCATTGATTCTGCACCCTCCACACACCTGGCAATACAGACTGCACATACAGAGCACATCCCACTGACAGCTGCTTTAGTTTCTCACATACAAGTTTAATGTTGCTTCAACAGATCTCTTTTTAAATAGCTATCAAGGCTTTGTAACTGCAAACAAAACATAAACCCCCAACACCAGAAGGAATACAAGATTACAGTCAAGCAAAGAAACAAAAGGCTTTTGCATGACATACTTTAGGGACATTCAGTTTTCATGCAACATGTATTTAGAAGCATCAAATGAAAAGTTAGAAGACCAAACTAAACACAAAGACTTGCTTTGAAAATGTTGCAGCCCCAGTACAATAAAACCCCCCACCTATTTATTCATCTGCAAGGATAGTATTAGTAAAACTAATTTTGGCTGGTCAGTCCTCGCTTTTGCATGACATACTTTAGGGACATTCAGTTTTCATGCAACATGTATTTAGAAGCATCAAATGAAAAGTTAGAAGACCAAACTAAACACAAAGACTTGCTTTGAAAATGTTGCAGCCCCAGTACAATAAAACCCCCCACCTATTTATTCATCTGCAAGGATAGTATTAGTAAAACTAATTTTGGCTGGTCAGTCCTCAACAAGAAAGTTTCCCAGGAAATTTTTTTATTCTGCAAGGCTAGAGTGTATAAAATAGAGGTTATAATATATGTTGCAGTCAGTGCATATGTTTAAGCTCACCTTGGTTAGCATTTGCACCCTGAGGCAAAGCATTGGTTAAATTGGGCAGCTCGTTTCCATGGTTTCCATCTTCCCAGGGACAAACATCCACACTGTTCCATTTTTTCAGCTGTTTTAGCCAACTGGACTTCTGCTCCAACTTGCAGTGGGGATTTAAGACTATACACATCCACAGAGCACCTGATTTTAAAAGAATTGCTAAATTATGTTTTCTATTAAAAACGCAGCAGCTAATAACTAATCGCGAACTTTTATACTGTATACTTTTTCTCCCCTCAAAGGCTACGCTGCTTGTTCCCAGCTACGCTTAACACCAGGCAGACTGAATTCCTGACACAGGCGCTTGGGGCTGGCGTGGCCAATCTGAAGCAGCTGAAAGATGGTACCAAGCCAGCCTCCTCAATTAAAAGGCATTAAGAGGTCACAATGTATGGCTCATCAGGCAGGAACATCAGTCAAAGGCAAACAAGAATTCTCATTACGTTACAGAAGCACATTTACCAAGTTTTTCTTCTAATTTTTGTATCGGAAGGGAATGTTGTTTTCTATGAACTATGTATCTTCCAGCTTCACTTTACAGGGACCAAAGAAGTGCATTAGTAAGACATGCATTTTGTAAACATATGCTTCCACACTCAGAACCCAGCACTGCTGATGGTATAACTCATTCCCAAACTCATCTGGGTCTCAGATAACCAGAAAACACTGGTTTTGTCTGACAGGAATGAATTATTTTTATGGCAATTACTTCAGTACTTTGGTTGTATTTTCTATTTAGGGAGTTCTAAGGGAAAGCTAATTTGTGCTGACGCATCACACACACCAACACTTTGGAAACTGCTCCCTGAGACTACATAACAAGGCAAGCATCAGGGTGTCTAGTGGCAATTTTCAAATGGAAAGATTTTTTTCTAGATCAGTCGTCCCTTCATCAGCTTGAACTCTGACAGAAGTACAAAGACATCTGAAACCACTATCTAGCAACAGTTCACTTGCTCATTAAGAACGTGCCTTATACACTACAAGAGGTTTTGATAATATGCTTAGACTATGCAATCTTCATGACAGGCTAAAAATAAAAAATAATAAAAATGCAGCTGGTTCTTCTAGGATAGTAAAATCCTCACATTCAAAGATTCTTTTGCTAACTAAGAATACAAAATGAATACCCAGGGTACAGGCCAGCACATTACATTCATTCCTAAACTAACTCAGGTATGCCACAGCACAGGAGCCAGTGGAAACACAGCTTGATCCTTAGACTTACAAGACTCCTGCTATTCAAACCAACACAGAATGGGGAAGTAATATAAAAAAATCTCAACACCAGAGAGACACTACAGTACTGCAGATTATTAGTGCACAGTAGTTACAGTACAGTAAGTGTGTTGGGTTTGGTGTGCCTGAAACTTGCCATGGGAGTGAATAAAGCCAATACTACTTTAAAAAACTTCTTTTAAAATCAATCATAAGATTTTATTCAGACACACTTGCCAGCACACCTCACTCTCCAAAAGGAGTCAAATTTCATCTGATTCTTCTTATTAAGCATTGATGATACAGCACTGCCCAAGACAGAACAACTACATTTCTTGCAATCTGCAACACAAAACAGAAGATGCAACACATTGGAAAGCCTTGGAGAATAGTTGACTTCGGCTTGCTTATTTATTTCAAAACCAAGTATCACTTGAGGGCACTACAGAGACACTGTACCTCTCAGCATCTAAGAAAAAAAGCCAATTTAAGACTTTGTAACCAGATTCCCAATGTTTACAGACTGAAGCAAAAGCAAACTGCCAACCTTAACCAGATTGGTAAGTATTTCAATCATCCAGCAAGGCAGAACACACACTACTGAGTACACCAAACCCCTGCAAATTGAGTGGCCTTTTTTCACATCTCAGAAATAACATTAGTGGCAAAAGAACTCGCCTGCCTCCTTCAGAAGCTCCATTATGCATGTGGTACATCTGAGAGGCAGGAGAGGGCAAAGATAACCCAAAGTACCAAAATTCATTAAAAACTTCTGTTGTTTAAAGTGGGAAACATGCCAAGCCTGACTACATAGTTACCAGCCATTGTATCAGACAACCAGGCTATTTTTATGTAAATTAAGTACAAAGACAAGTGTATTTCCATTAAACCTCACACAAGCCACTTAAAATTTCAATGGAGCCCAACTGCACTCTGTTACCAGTGACTTCAGGAAGAGCTGCATGCACATCTGACATCTCACCCAGCTTTGAAGGCTGCGTGATTCCCAGCAGGAAGAAGTGTGTGAGACAAAACTCCCCCACGAGAGGAGAAGGGAACAGAAAGAGCCTCAGGCTCAGCTCCTGTAGTGCTACAAAGCCTACCATCTGGGAGAAGGATGCATAATGCCAATGACTCCACACTCTTCAGCCTATTTGGGTTTCTAGGTCTTTTTGGGTTTGTGTTTTGGGTTTTTTTGTGTGTGTGATTATTTTTTTTCTTCCCACTCCCTCCCTCCCCAGAGCGCGTGCATTTGCCTGTATTCATATTTCTTCCTACTCCTGCTCCCTAAACACCTTCAGCCTCCCTGACATCTGCTCCATTCTGGCTCTTTCAATTCACTGGTTCCTGTCCTGCTCCTAGCACTGAAAAGTCTGAGGAAAATGTTCACTTGTGCCCAGACTTTTATCACATGCCAACTGGCAGGAGCCTGGAGGATATTCTTCCCATTTCACTCTGATGCTGCTCAGTGGAAGCCTCCCTGAGCTGGCCCTCAAATGTCACCACCAACCTGAAGGCTCACATTGGCCTCAAACAAGAGATTCTCTATTTTCTGCCTAATGGCTCCCATATGGGGACCCTGCTGATCATGCTTATCCCTTACTGCAGATAAGGCCTATGGAAAAAAACAAAGGGCAGCTACTTGTGAGAAAGGTATCTGAATGAATTTCCAGCGACTTCAGCCTGGAAACTGCTGTTGGCAACAGTTCACACTCAAAAAAAGTTACCCAAAATACATTCCTGGCATTCTCAACTTTGTGTTTGACTACATTTAATGACTTCACCAATGCCACCTGCAATATGAGTAAATGTCTCATCAAATAATAATTAAAATACAAAGAGACACCAAATCCACAGAGAATTTGTGTTTACAGACTCTGTTTTTCTCTCTAAAACAACTCTTCTTCCTGCCTTGCTTTCCCTAGGTATTTCTTCATACTGGTTCTCAGCAGGCTGACACAGCTTCCCCAGAACCCACTGCATGTTGCTAAACCACAAGTTCTTATCTGGACTCTGACCTACCTCTTTCCAATACAAAACTCCCCACAGCACAGTGGCAAAATGATCACAATTCAAAATACAAAAAAATTATCCAGAAAATAATTGGAAAATAAGACATGCTGCAACTGCAATTTGCTCTTAATTTCACAAGGGAATAAATATTAGAGCTGTCACATTGCAGTGAGGAATTGCCTACTTTGATTCAACATTAATCCTCTTGACCTGGAAAAATCCAGCTCTGCCAAAACAGAGCTGTGGTTCAGACAGACCTCCTTTGGAAAATGCATAGTTGTCATTCATCTGTAGTGTTTGCCCCCCCACCAAAAAAAAAGGAGGTTCCATTACTGTTTTACACAATGCATGTCTTCCTTGTTCATACAAGAGAACATCAGGGCTTTTGTGTTTCTCAGGAAACATCCATACCTTTAAATTCATGGTGAAGAAAGGGACAGCATACCTTTACACTGATTAGAATTTAAATATGCATATTGAAAAATATTAAGGGGCATTAAATTCCTGTAAAAGTAGATGTTGTAATAACTACACATCCTGTGCATGAACATATTTATGAAGCTAAAGGAAGTCCAGGGAACGTATACAGACTCTCCCATGAGATTAAACATTGCTCACTTTTCATAAATCTCATTATGTTTTAGTCTTGTCCCAGTAAATGGGAAGATGGTGATGGAAGGAATTTTAGTGGGGTGCTAGGACACTGACCATTACTGAACACACAGCATACAATTCTGTCTGCTTGATTACAGTCTTCTAAGAAATCTACTCTTCCTAGAAACATTATGCTATCTTGTCAGGGGTGCTGTACAGCTGAGCTTGGCTCAGCATTTCCTCATGTACAATAACTGTGTAATCAATGGCTGAGACTTGGCCTTTGCTTTGGAATTTTCCATGTAATACACTTCAGATCAATCAACGCATTTGCAAAATTAAAATGTACAAGAAACAGATGCACATCTGTAACATTTCTTTGGCCTTCCCATTAATGCACAACTTCTCCTTACAAAATAAACCCCCCATGAGCTACAAGATTAGCAGCATTTGACCATTTCAAAGAAAATTGAGGCAGACAACCAAGATCATTCCCTTTGAACAACAGACAAAACACCTTCAGCACTTGCTGCACAATTGACACTGTGCCCCATGTGAGACAAATCAATTCTATTACAAAAGCATCATTTTCTGGCATTGGCAGTGCCAGAAGAGAAACAACACTAGCCGACAGAACCTATGAACCCTTCAAAGTAGAAGCACCAGCGGAGGAGTTTAAAGTGGTTTACATCCGTATTTTAAACACATTAACCACTTTCACTGGGACAGCCACTAGGAAACTTCAGAGAAGGTACGGTATCTATTGCTTCTCAGCGAGAAGGACAAGTGCCTTCAGAATGACTGACAAAGCCAACGCCCTTCTCTAGGCATGGAGAGATCTCCATTAGAACAAAGCATAATCAGAAGTCCCACTGGAGAATGCCCCAATTAAACAGCTGCTTTTATGGAATAGTAAAGATAGGCAAAGCCCTTCAGTGCTATTCTCTCTTCAAGAAGAACCCCAAGGAAAACTACTCTCAGCATTCAGTTCCATCCAAGTTGCAATTTAATTCATCAAAATTCCTTAATGCATTTTGGTTTCTCTGTTCAGCCTTCAGAAACAAAAAGGCTTTCTATGGGTGCTGTGTTTCTTGGAGAACAGAATGTTTCATTTTGCTCTAATTCATTCTATTACTGAATTAAACTTTGATGTATTGGTCTTGACAAGTGCTTCATGCTGATTGTATTGTGTATGATAGTATAATCACTCCCCATGCATTTCACACTAGCTGGCTGATTAATGCAATAGATTACCTGCAGCACTGATGGCAAGAGGGAATCATTGCCCTTCTGCACACTAACTAGAGCATCTGAGG